TATGACCTATTCAAAGTAGGAAAAATAGGAATCAGAGGTAGATTTATTGTATTTATTCCATTTTGTGGGTATTTATTTTAAATGCAATCTACCTTCAAGTACAAAGCTGTAGTGCTCTTAAAAGATTACTGTTTCAAGTTACTTCACATACCTTAACAGAGCATGTAACCTTTTTACATTATATGATCAACTTTTTGACAGTGCAGGGCCAGCACAGCTAATGGAATAATAGCCTGCAGGGTCCAGCTAAATGATATACGAATATAATCAACCTTTGTGATGACTATTCAAAAATAATCCCTTTAGCTTTCAACTGCAACATATATTTCAACCAGGCAAAGCCATATGAAGAAAATCTCTGCAGACTACACTGATACAATATGGCCTTCATATCCCCACAGTGTGTATGCTGCTCACAGTGAGTTTTAAATTTAAGGTAATGGCTACTGTATATTCATGTGAGCATAGAACAATACCTTTGATTTGTTGGAGAAATGTTACATTAGCTACCAAGGGCCCTATTCAGTAAACTTTGACACAGCCCTTATATATGGTTTACTGCTTATTCTAAATGGAATATGCCTGATAAAAATGCTTTGCATGCCCAAATTGTACAAATTCATTAATCTTTATATTCATAAAACCTCCAAGTACAACTGCCTCTATTCCAAAGTGAACCTAGTCAGGATACGTGGCTAAACATGTAGGCCCAATCTGCTTTTAAAAAAGCATCGCATTAATTTTCATTTATCAAGACAGAAAAGAAGTAGGAAGATCTTCAAGTGTGGGACGTGTCTGTTGTTGACAGTCATATTATTTGCTGCTGTAGCTTTATTCCTGCTCCATTACATCATTCTACAGATTATATAACTGAAAACAGCTGCATGACCTTTAAAAATGCAAGTAATTTTTAAATTACAATAATGGGTTATATGTCATCAGCTGCATTATGCCAACTTGATACAATCCTGCCAAATCATGGGGAGAGTATAAAGAATATGGTGAAATAGTCTTGCTTTCTCTCTGCCTTTTGGGACAAAAGTACCGTATTGGTTAACAGTGAGCCTGAGTACATGGAATTAATTGTATTGATGGAAAAGAGAGGTAATAAAAACACTGCATTGCCTTATATTGCTACTTTTGTATGTACAATATAGTAAGATTTTGCTCACATTGACAGCAGGTGCAAGTATTGGTCTTGTTTGCAGATGTGTACTTAAATACATATGAAAACATGTAAAAACACTGTTGCTGTCTTTTGTTTGAGGTGTTGTATTAGTGTTGTATTACAGGATTTTATGCCACTTATCTTTTGTTTGGGGTGTTGTATTACAGGATTTTATGCCACTTATGCCATGCAAGTTAGCTGTAGTGGTAGAGTAGGAGAGGGTACCAACTTTTCTCCCATTTGTTTACCTTGTCAGTTCTTGAGCCCGTAGAAAATTAGGGCATCCTCAGCATCCTGCAGCAGGGAGTTCCAAGGATGAGTTGGCAATGCACAAAGAAACCTTTCCTTTGTCTCCAAGGCCACCACCTGCTACTTTCAGTATATCCTACTTCATTCTTTCATTGGCAGAGACAGTGAAAAATGGCTTTGGGGTCACTTTCTACATGCTGTTCTCATTCATGCTTTTGTCATCTCCTCAAAATATTGCTTTTCTGTTTTTTCAAAGCAGTTTCAGCTCCCCAAAACAACAGTCCTCTTATGATTCTTCGTCAGTTTGTGGAGCTTTTCAGTGGAGTTCTTTAAAGTCCAATAGTCTCTGAAAAATGCAAAACTTGGGTTTGAATGCTTTCCCACTGTATGGGCATGCAAGCTCAGGTGTTGCCCGTTTCATTTTTTTTATAATCTTTTGCCTAAAATTCCTGTCCCCTCTGGAGATAGTGATCATTTTAGCTTCAGTCTTTGTAGGTGCAGCTTTCATTCTTTTGTATGACTTTTCACTAATTATATTGCTTATATACAGACTAGCAGCTCCGATTAGCTTTCTCTCAGGAACATAATGAAATAATGAGATTTTTCAAAGTGTAACGATCTTTAGATAGACACATGTAAACAACAAGAACAGAGATGTCAATTCTAGCTGCACTGAAAATTCGACCAGACAATTTTAATTATATTTTATCAACAGCAGTGATAATATGTCAGGAGCATCATATTATGATTAATTATATTTACATACTATTAATATATATTAATGTTTATCTCTGCATTTTGTGCAACGCAATAATATAGAAGGAGAATTCTTGATGGTGTGATCTGTGGTGGTATATATGTATTATCATTATGAATATGAGATGCTTTTATTGTTCCCAAATAGCACAGGCCAAACAAATGCCAAGAAAACATTTATGGCTCAGTATTCCATCAGTTATCCTTGATACGCCTCATATTTGCTGGGAGGGCAGAACCGTTAATCAGACAATAATAGCTCGGTGTCCACGTGTAAAGGCAAAAGGCCAAAAGGTGCATGAGAAAAGCAATTTATGCTATAATTCCTCATCTGTCATGTACACATCCCCAACACTTTTGTATGTGTCACCCTATGTAAGGTACTTTGCTGACAGAGACACGCTTTTATGTTTATTTACTTGCAAATTCATATGTTACTATAAATGGGCATGTTTAGTTTGGAGAAGAGGAGTATGTTACTATAAATGGGCATGTTGAGTTTGGAGAAGAGGAGGCTGAGGGGAGACCTCCTTGCCCTCTCCAGCTCCCTGACAGGAGGGTGTAGAGAGGTGGGGGTTGGCTTCTTCTCCCAAGGGAATGCCAGGAGCAGAGGAAATGGTCTGAAGTTGGGGCAGGGGAGGTTTAGATGAGATCTTGGGAAGAATGACTTTGCTGAGAGGGTGGTCAGGCACCGGAAGGGCCTGCCCAGGGAGGTGGTGGAGTCACCATCCCTGGAGGTATTGAAGAAATGTGTAGACATGGCACTTCAGGGAATGCTCTAGTGCCTGAGATTGTTGGTTTGTGTCTGTTTGTGGGGGTTTTGAGTTTTTTTGTGGTTGGACTCGGTGATCTCAAAGGTCCCTTCCAACCATGAAGACCATGTGATTCTGTGAAATACTTAGCTACATTTTGGGCTTGAGTCACCCACCTGTCTTGCACTGCTTTTTCAGCAATAAGCTTCCACTGGAGAGAGTAATAATGCTACACTGGAGTAAATCTGGGGTGGGATAACAGAGTTCAGACTCCTTAGCACTCCTGAATTGCCTGAGGCTCTCAGCTGCTTCATGGTGGTTGAGTTCTTAAGCCAAACTGAGAAGTTACAGACTCTGGAGCCATGAGCAGAGCCCCTTGTATTTAATTAGGTTTAATTAGATTTTTTTTGTTTAGACAGGATCTGCTAGTAGAGGAATTTCCATTGATGTACTTTAGGCCCAGTTTCAGAAAATGTTACTTGGAATAACTATATTGTTAAATACTGAATGAAGCACAAACGTGCACTAACATTGCCCTCGTACAAAATGAGATTTCATGTTATAACTTACAGTAATTCTCAGATATTCTTTGTAGATTTACTTATCCTACTCTTACTGGCATACAGCTATGGATGAAGTCCTAGTTAGGAATTATACTTTAAAAAAGTCTATAATACGAAAAAACATAAATTTTATTGAGTCTTGAGTGCTCCAGTAGTTTGCATCTCTTCCAAACATTGCACCAGCAGAGACACTGCTTTAAACATTATTTTTCATCCCCACCAGAGCTGGATTAATGTCTTTATTTTAGGCATGAATTAAATTAGGATGCCATATAAGCACCATTGGTATTGCTGTGACTGAAAGACACAGAGTCCAGTTTTAGGCATCACAGCGCAAAGGGGTAGTGACAAATTGAGGAGGATCCAGCCAAGGATTATACAGAGGTCAGAAGACATGAGCTCCTTTCAAATGTTGAAGAGACTGCACTTTCTTAGTCTCAAAAAGAGAATATTAGAGGAAGGAAAATAGTCTCTCAAGCTATGAGGAGCTATTATAAAAGAGAATGGTGTTCCTTTGCTCTTCATGTCTACCTGCCGTGGTACCGAATATTCCATTGGCCGTTCCATTGTTCTCTCTGTGCTCCTTCTCAGCTTCTGTGGGAAGCTGAAGAAAAGTCCTTGAATAGTATAAACATTGCCTAGCAACAATTGAAACAATATGCATTATTGACATTCCTTTCACGACAAATCTGAAAACACAGCAACCACCTGAAAGAAAATTAACTCCGTCCCTGCTGAAACCAGAACACCACCGAAGATAGAACAAGAAAAAAAAAAAAAAAGCTTAATTTGCAATAAATATTTATCTTAAGTATTAGGGAAGAAACTGATCTATAAGATTGTGAAGCACTGGAACAGAGAGATTAGGGATGTTGTGAAACAGCCTTCATCAGAAGCCTTTGAGAATAGATTTGACAAATAGATGTCAGGGATCGACTAGATATATGTGCACTTTCTTCATTTGAGGAGGTGAACCAGATCAGTAGTTCCCAAAATAGGAAACAATCCCCCCGGGACGGTGTGGTCGTAACGAGGCAGAGGGAGGTGTGTTGCTGGAGAGTCACTGGGAGCAGAGGGAAAGTGCAGCGAGGAGGTGGGAGTTTGGTGTGGAAATGGAGCAAGGAAAGAACAAGGCTGAGCATCACAGGTCGTGGGAGCAGAGGAAGCCTGTGGCTGCCAAAAGCTGTGGGGTTAAGCCATTGCCTTCCAGCCACCTGCCCCTTTGATCACATCCCATTAGGACAACCCCACTGAGAGGTGGCTCACTTCTGTGTTGTCTTAAATTGCCTTCTCTTGTGATTTCTTAATGTATTACATGTTTTTCAAATAAACATTCTTCTAGGCTTATTTACTATGAAGTATGTTGTAAGTCTAAAGCACTAATGCACCTTTTCTTTTTTTTTTTAAATAACAGAACTTGATAAAGAAACAAGTCCTTAGGCTTATTTACTATGAAGCATGTTGTAAGTCTAAAGCACTAATGCACCCCTTTTTTTTTTTTTAAAATAACAGAACTTGATAAAGAAACAAGTCCTTCAAAGCCTCTGTGAGCCTCTTCCAAAGATACCAGTTCTAGATCCTTTCTGGTACAGTATTTGCTCTAAATCCGTTGTCTTTATACCAATATGCTGATTTTTGCAAAATGTCATTGGTATCAAAATTTAACCTGATTTTTACAGGCAATTGCACATCATCTCTGTTTCAATTTGTCCAAATATCAATATCTTTCCTGCTCATAAATGAGCAAATTCACACTTCCTTCAGATTTTTCACTCGTTTTCCCAGTTTGAGAATTTAATTGCCTTTGATCATGTAATTGCTTTTCATTTACAGAAATAAGCCTTTGAGACATAAACAAATCTATTAACCAGATGCTGAACCCAAATATAAAACATGTAGATATCAGAGTGTGTATATAAACTTAAAACATTCGTTATTTTTTTATTTGCTGTTTTTCATTATAGAGGATGCCTGCTTACTTACGGAGAAGCTGATTAGCACAATGACTACAGGAAGAGCCTTGAAGACTCATGCAACAAAGTTGGAATTTCGGTAGGAATTTTGTCATTTAAATGGGAGCACAATGTTGCAGTATAAATATCTAAGAGCTCTAAGTTCTCTTACGACTGAAGCGTGGCTTCACTATGTATTACATGTTCTTATCAAAAATAACTGGTGTCATTGAAATAAATACAAAAGAAAAAGAGTAATACAGAGTAGGAAGTTTGTACTTTGTGCCCTTAATGCTTATAGTCCTCTAAAGTGTCACTATCCTCCTGTTAAGATATTAAACATCCTCTGTGCCTACTGAATAGGAATCCAAGATGCTTGATACCTTGTAGGATCAGGTTTTAAATGTGTCTGGAGAGTTTTGTTTAAATCCCAGATTACTGTCCTTTTCAGAAAAAATAAACCACAAGCTTGATGCCTTATTCTTAGGGCTATCAGTGATTTTAGCCCCTATGCTTAAGAGGTGCAGTTCAATAGATCCAGCCTGGGTGGCACAATATGGTGCAATTTGGATCTACTCTATGTAGTTTGGACCCAAAACACAACCAAGTTTGTTTAAAATCTGGTTGAGCACACTCATGAAACTGCTGACAGCCTGCACAATCGAAGCGGTTGAAATGCCATTGACTGTCTCAAGTGCAACATCAATCTATAGGCACAGCTGAAACAACTATATTTAACAATGAAAGTACATCTGGTAGAATACCTATATGTCACAGTTTCAAAATTGAACCTGAAATTCCCCTTTTAACAAAACAGTACATCTGGTAGAATAGCTGTATGTCACATTTTCAAAATTGAACCTGAAATTCCCCTTTTAACAAAACCTGTGTTCATTCACACAATCGAGTAAACTAAAATTCTGCCTGGAATCTTTTGATAAATACTCAGAAGCACTGATTTTGGAGTGTGTGTGGAGAATTGTCACATGAATTGTCATTTTGAGCTGATGAAGCTCTTCACAGTCCCTACGTGACCCACAGCAGTCTGACTCCTGTGGTCTTCACAGTCCTCGAAGGGTGTTTGGCCCAAAGAAGAGATAGAAGAAAGAAGATGGTGGTTATCACTCTGCAAAATATATGTAAAAGCAGGATTTGGAACCTTTGAATTTAAATTAGGAAAATTGATCCAATCTTTCCTAATTTCATGTATTAGAAGCCCTGTTCTTTCCAACTACGTAAGCAAAGCTTTCTGAATACCAGTAGCCAACCATTCCTTTCTTTGAACGGAGGTTTCCAGATCCAGAGTTTGAAGCAAGGTCCATTAGACCTGTAATCAGTTTTTATGACAGTCTTTGAGCAAGCAATAGCTTTTGCCATAGTAATAACTCAATTCACTGGTTTTCTTCAGGATTGCAATTTCAGTAACTGGTTGACATGTGACAATAGGATTTCTCCCTGTTAAGGTGTAGTAAAAATGTGTCATTAACTAGCTCTTAGTAGACCATTTTTGATTAAGATGCCACGTACACGCAATGTAAATGCAAATACCTCAATAATTTTATTCTTTTACTTAGAGGTCTTTATTGTCTAAACAACAAGCTTATTACAACAATGTTCATTTAGAATGTTTTTATAAGGCTGAAAAGTTGTATAGGAATGTTCCTACGTGCAATCATGCACACACATACAAATCTCTTTACTGACTGTTAAACAGAGGTAAACATTTTATGAAAACCAGGAAGAGAAACAGAACTGTGAATTAAATGTAAACAATAACAGTATCCAGTTTACCCTTATATGTTAATGCTGTTGATATGAAATATGAAAAGCATTATAAAACCAGCACAATTTTGCAAATAGTATCTGAAAATCACATTAATCTGCAAACTCGTCTAATCTTGATAAGTATAGCATGACTGCTTGTGAGAGGTTGCTATTTTTAGATACTTGGAATTTCTTTTATTAGAATATTGTCAAAAGAAATGGAGTATTTGAATTTATCCTTCATAGTAAAAGAATATGTATAGAATAATGTAAACCAAGCAGACATTCTAGAAAAGACAGTTATCGATTTTTTCAAGTTTCTAACGTACATTTCTGCAGCAACTGAACATTCTGTGTATGTGTCTCAAAAGTTATGGTGCAGTTATATTAAAAAACATGCATGGTCATCACTGGTTTTTGCCAATCTGCACTCCTTACTAAGTGATAACTCTTGTGTGCTTGGGGAAAAAAGGGTCCCAAATTAATCCTCTAGAGCATTAGCTCTCCCATACTTTTATTTTTTTATTTTATTAATGGGGCAAGGAGGTTAAGCAGAATGTTGTTCCATTATACTTTGGACAGGATCCTGGAATAAACCTCTGGGTGCTCACTGTATCAGTGGTATCAGCTGCAGTATCCACTCAATAGGTCTTTAGAAGAAAAATCAGGACTTGCTGAATTACCAATACCTCTCCAACATCACTTTTCTTTGGTGATCTCTTGTCAGATGTAGCCCTGCTCGTAAGATCTGCTGGGGTCAGAGCTCGAAGTAGTATAATGGAACTTTTGTCCTTTGTCTCTTTACATGAGAGATGCTCTGATTTCTTTAAGGAGCTCCTCATATGGAACAGAATTACTCCCCCCTCTGCCTGGTTCATTATCACTGCAATCCTTCCTCCAGGTTTTTCCAGAAAGCCTCTTAATATCCTGACCCTTAAGAGTTTGCAGTCAGAAAGGAGGACTCAGGTACGAGTTGCAGTTACAAGTTTTTCTGTGCTCTGAGAAATTATAGGCATAGTTGACTTTAATGAAGTTAGGAAAGCAGGTAAATCAATTCAACCAATAATGCCAGTTGTCTGTTTCAAAAATATATTCCAGCAGATGAATCTCTGAACAGTTCTGAAGGGTAATATTGATGTCTCTAAAAATCTACATCTTCAGGGTGCCAAAGGTACACGAGCCTGGCAATGAAGTCAGCTTTTTGGATAGGGTTTTGGTAGGTTTCACTGTGGATATATCAGCTGGTATTGACTAACAATTCATAGGGTAAGGTCGTACCTCAGAAACTATTCTGTTTATAATTATGAAAAGCATGTTTTCTGACCATTAATAGGGTATATCTTGTTAATTATGATGATATATAAGGTATTTCACCTGTGAAGCCATTTAGAAAATTAATGCTTGAGTCACAGAAAGGTCATTGCCATTGTGGAAGGAATCCATTCATCTCTAAATAGGCCATCCGAATATAGACGAAGAAATACACTATATATAATTACCTAGAAATAGATGGAATAAATAAGATTGATGATGGGTATTACTAAAGCCACACTTTAGTTTCCTGTTAGGAAAAAGTAGAACGTAACTGGAA